ACCAAAAGAGTAATTTTTTTTCAGTTTAAATATTTCTTTAAAAAAAAAAAAAATAATCTACCAGCTGCCTCCTGCACACCTTTTATTGGGGATGTGCCCACAACCAAGGTACATGCCCTTGACCGGAATCAAACCTGGGACCTTTCAGTCCCCAGGCCGACGCTCTATCCACTGAGCCAAATCCATCATGGCTTCAGTTTATATTTTAGAATTTTATCAAGACATATATACTAAGAGTAAATGTATTTCAAGCAGCTATTGATCATTTATTTATACTTTACTTAAAATGAGCTCTTGGTATTTCCCCCCAAAATAAATGTTTATAATGGAAAACCATAGAGAGGTGTTAATGGGAGAGGAAAATGATAATTTAATGTGATACAAAAAACTATAATGGAAGACTAGGAAAATGCCCTAAATCATATTTGTTTCTTTTCGGAAACTACACAAAAGTACTCATAAATCAATTGTGTGTTTGTTTGTTTTTTAATTTAAAATAGTAGGGATGTAATGGTGAAAACAAATGAAAAAGAACACCTCATTTGAAAATGGAAGTATATTAATAGTTTACTCTACAGGGCCTGGGACTGGAAACATAATATTTGATTTTCTCACCTGGTCTTAAAGACCTTAGATAGTCTCCTCCCTTCACAGAGCTCATCTCCCACCACTAACAGCAATTTAAAAATAAATGAAAAGCAATCGATGATTTTTTAAAATCAGCTATACTGCCAAGCTTTCCCTTTTTCTGTCCTTCAAATGTTCTAGCATCATTCTCATTTATGGGCCTTTGCAGTTGCTTGGCTATCTGCTTCAAAAACTGTAACTCCATATTACTGTATTACTTACATCATTTTTAACAAGATGAGTTGAGGTCTTTATGTTGAGATTTCCATCAGACAGTTGGATACAGTGGTTTGAGGTTCAGAAAAATTGCCTTATTAGAAGATACACATTTAGAAATAATTTATTGAAATTATGAGAGTATAAAAAAACAAAGAACAATTTTGAAAAAAATAGGCATGGAAAGTCAAGAGAGATAAACTATGTTAATGTAGTTTCAAGAAAGAGGACTTGATTGACCCTATAAATGTAGTAAAAGTCAACTGTGAAAAATAAAAATTATTAGAAGATGGAATAATTTTATTTCAGCTACTGCAGAATCAATAATTCATTATAGAAAATATTAATGTGAGGCATTTTACAGAATACTATTTTACCAGAGATTTTGAAAAAATGCTTCTATGAATTTTCATTCCCTATAAAAGGAATGATAACTTAGTATGAATATGATATAGTTATTGTGAGGTAGAATGTATCTCAGATATGAAAATTTTCTGCCTGGGAAATGGTGAAGAATAGGATAAGTCTATGGATATCAGTATCTTCCAAATAACTATCCAATTTGATACCTTCTTCTGCGATGTGCACTATTGCACTGTACACAGAGATTTCATTTATTTGGCCAACTCTACAGGGAAAAGCTTTTAAGTATTCTCAACAGTGAAACAATTACTGATGTCACCATTTGCAACTAGCCTCAAACTTGTTATAGGTCTACTCTTTC